CTCCCTCCTCTCCTCACTCCCATGTCCCTTCTCTCTACTGAACCACATTTCATCTTAGGATGACATCCCCTCCCTCCTCTGTGAATCCTTCCCTGACTTCTCAGGACTTCAAAACGCTCCCATGGCTCCCTCTGTGCTTATTCTTACGGTCCTATGTATCCCATTGGATTAGAAATGTCTGCTTGTTCCCCCAACAGACTGTAAGCTCACTGAGGGCAGAGACTAGGTCCTTTGTGTAGTACCTGGCTTATAGGTGTTGTCTATCTCCACTCTCATACAAAAACGAGTACGGTAACTTCTTATTTGTATAATACTTCCTAGCTGGCTCACTCTCATTTGACCCTCTCCTAATGCTGGTGCTACAGAAATAACGCCCAGAGTGCAATGAACAATATCGGCATGTTACTACAGCTGATGCTAATTTATTCCACTTCAATTAAGTCAGGAGTAAAATCAACATTCTCACAAAACTGGCTTTGCTCAATAAGCCAATTAAAAATAAGCTGTCTTTTTTGCTTTTTCCAAATAATAACTTATAAGGGAGTCTGTCATTAACAACAGTCTCAAAATCAAATTACATTTTTAAAAATCAGAAGAGAGCCGTTTAAATACATACTTAGTTCATCTACTTACTCTATTAAGCGCTTTGGGGATGAGCCACTTTGATGGAATTCATCAGCATCATAGAATTCATCTTCACTGCTAGAATAGGAGAACTCTGGGACTGTATTTGGAGACAAGTTCACATGGCTTGGAGAAGTAAGACTGCTACTAGGTGGTGAGTGCCCACTGCCTGGGAAGTTAAAAGGCTTTTAATTAGGGGACAATGTTGGTAATAGAGGGAGGAAATTAGGGAGATGGGGTTAAAGCAGACCTTTCTAAAATCAAGAAAGAGTTGAGTTAAGTTGGTAGAAGTCTCTACATTACATGTAAAGAAAGTCAACATTTAAACTAGACAAAGAAAAAGGTAAATCATGTTACAGAATGGGACATAGCCTGTTAGATAAATGTAAAAATGCTATGTCACCATTCTATAATTATCTTTAATATCAGGAAGGGAGCTCTTTTGATTATAATTACACTGTGTAAGTGCTGGTGCTGGAAGTCCCACAACAGACACCAGCACCAGCGGGAAGCCAGGGCTCTTATTTTATACTGTATATCCAGATACCTAAAAAAAGCAGCAGTGAGCCAACGGGAATGCCAACTGAAAAGAATGTTAAGATATTGTTCAAGATACCACATCCATACTAGTCGGTATGTTCTGGCAGTCACATGAAAACACAGAAGCTCTGCATGAAGCCCTGAGTGCTCATCATCCCAACTCCTCACTTCTTCTCCACCTAAGTCAGGCACCTGGGGCTCAAAGGCAAAGAAAACAGAGAGCTACTAAGGGAAGAATGCAGAACAAGAAAGCACTAGGAGGAACATCTTTCTATACTTAAACAGTCTAACAAAGGAAATGAAAATTAACAGAGATCCAAAGAAGACTACTATCTAATCTCTGTGATGTTCATGTGGTTCACTGTCTAGTAATAAAGTAATAACAATAAAAGTATCAAACAGAACAATGGAGTATTGGGGGCCGGCCCCGTGGCGTAGCGGTTAAGTGTGCGTGCTCTGCTGCTGGCAGCCCGGGTTCGGATCCCGGGCAAGCAGTGATGCACCGCTTGTCACGCCATGCTGTGGCGGCCCCCACATAAAGTGGAGGAAGATGGGCATGGATGTTAGCTCAGGGCCAGTCTTCCTCGACAAAAAGAGGAGGATTGGCATGGATGTTAGCTCAGGGCTGATCCTCTTCACACAAACAAAAAAAAAGAACAATGGAGTATCGAGATCAATTTAACAAGTGTTTACTGAGCATTTAAGGGCTTTCAGGCAATTTATGCCAAATTGCTACAGACGCCTGGCAGAGAATAAATTTAAGTCACTGCTGGCAATCTAAAAGCCAAAGCCAGAGTTCTAGAAGAAATTGAGAATTGTAGCAATAAAAATGAATGCAGAGCCACTCATGGATTTTGAGCCCATTCCTGTGTCTATGGTTCAATAGTCAGGGAAAGAGCACATTCACCTACCACACTTAGCTGCCCGATTCACAAAGATATCTTTGAAATGTAACACAAGACATTTGCCACCTAAAAAAGTAATGCTTATTGTGGAAATTCCAAAGATAGTTCATCTTAGCAAATAACTTTAAATTCTCTTTTATTTTTTTCCGCCAATAGCAGCAATAATATGCGAAAGAAACGTTCTCTTATTAAAATGGGGGGGGGGGACCAAAGAAGTGCAAATGATTAAGTAACATGCAAATACTTCAGGTGATCACACAATTGAAAATGTGTCCAAGAAGAAAATGAGTTTGAATGGGAACTGCAAACAAAAGAACTGAGTTTTCCTTAAGAGAGCAAACAATATTATTTCTTTTCTCAGTTGCTCCTTCATTTCTTTTTTATATTAGTAAGAGAGGTAAAGGAAAGAAAGGTGGAGAAGATCAAGAAATTAGGTTGAAAAATCAAGTAAGACACAAATTAGATACTAATTTAATTTTTAAAATTTCTTCAAATCCACCTATTCTAAAATGTATTTTTGAAATTTCTTCTTCTGAAATAATTTACCCTAAATTATTATTTATAACTAATTAATTATCCTAAAGTTAAAGTACACAAGAAAGAGCACTCAGTTGTTCAAAGTTCATAACTAGTTCTGTATATCTCCAAATAAATTTTGGTTGTATTTCAAAACTGACATAATCCCTCCTTATAAAAAACAAAATAAAACACAAGTACTTTCTGAAATTGAACAAGAGGTGATACAGGTAATGAGATACAGAAAAAAGTCAGCCAAAATATTTCAACCTCATTATTTAAATTGCTCATTATTTACATATCAGCATTCCCAAGAGCTTCAAATAAGAGCGATGTTTGTTGCTTGCTTTCTTGCAAAATTCAGAAGACATCTGTCCATGCTATTAAATATGAAAGACCAAAGTAACAGCATCAGTGCCTTTATTAATTCAAATCTCAAAATGGGCTAAAATCACAAGGTAACTTTTCACTCAATAGAAGTCCCTCCTAGGGAAGAGATCTTCGGAGCAACAGCAGGCGCTGAGCTCCCTGTTCCTCAAGAGGGGTTTTGGTTTTGGCCTCCAGGTATAACAGGAACAAAGCACTAACTCTTCCCTTGAGTCCGTTTCCACACGTAACTCAAAGTAAATCTAATTAGTTTTAAAACAAGAAATAAACCTAATACTAACGTTGATATCTCTGTAAATTAGAGAAAAAATAAAGACTATATGTCTAAACAAATTAAGAAAATGCAAATTAAAATGAAATATCCTTTTTTTGCCTATAATATTGGCAAAGGTGTGAAAGATTGATAAATCTATCCTAAAAAAATACATATGTGTCAAAAGTTGCTGTATAAGGATATTCACTAAAGTATTGCTTATAATAGGAAAATAATGGAAACAACCTAAACATCCATCAGTGGAAAAACAGGTAATACCTGCTCAGGCAGCTGTAAAAAGAATGTTGTAGACCTAAATGTAACATGGAAAGCTCTCTAAACGTTCTCTGTTAAATGAAAAGAAAAAGTCACAGAAACACATGATCTTACTTAGGTTAAAACAAAAACAACAATAAAAAAACACGATATAGGGGGCCGGCCCCGTGGCTTAGTGGTTAAGTGTGCGCGCTCCGCTGCTGGCTGCCCGGGTTCGGATCCTGGGCGCGCACCGACACACCGCTTCTCCGGCCATGCTGAGGCCACGTCCCACATACAGCAACTAGAAGGATGTGCAGCTATGACATACAACTATCT